GTTTTTCGTAATTTGTCGATGGTTTTTCCATTGGCATTAAATAACTATATCGAAAAATGACTTCTTTAAGGTACCATCTTGATCCAATTTGCTAAAAGACAAGATACTATATATGTTGAAATCGAAGCACTATTCTGGTAGACATTGTGTATACATTTTGTATACAAATACAGGATAAATAAAAAAATTAAATAAATAAACACCATTGTAAAACCACTAGCTTCCTCATTCAGAACATAACACATATTAAGTTACTATAAATACATTTTCCAAGACGTATTCAATCAAATATTGTAAATATCAGTAGAAATTAGTTATTGATGTTGTTTTAAGGAGTATATTAAGTAACTACCTACTTATTATTATCTATTCTAAAACTTACTAGCAAAATGATTGTTACTTAAACTGAAGCTTCATATAATTTAATGAAATGAGCTAAAACATGAAATTCGCATAACAAACAAATCGGAGAACTCGCTCTGCTATATAATAGATGTCGAGTGTACCTCGTCATTGATTAGGTCACTGCAGTAATATATATTGTGTTAAATTTAAATTCAATCATATTGCATAGGGAAAACGATTCTGAGCACAGTCTGTCAGCCTTTCTCAATAGGTACCTAGTATATTATGTTATCAAAAATTTATATTGCTGTCAGTTATTTATTTTTGAATTATTTTTTTTCCGAATACATCGCGTTTATTATATTATTATAATATTATTTAATACTATAATTTATTGTATACATTTATAACATATCATACTATTATTTTTTATTAACTTTTTAGTCAATACCGACTTACCATAGCATGGTATGAATAGGGTCGTAGGTACAGGTATAAATAGGCAATAGCTTAAGATGATGTCACCTCACTGTCTACGAACAACATAGACGAAATGCATTCACCCAAATAATTTTATGAGTAATCATAGAGTAAAATCGCCCTTCAAAAAATGTATAGATAATAATATTTCTAAGGAAATGTCATATTGATTTGTTAAATTAAAATTGTCTCAAAATAATTTAATATTTATTTAAATTTACAAACTTTTTTTTAAGCAAAATATGGAGTCAAATAATAATAAAATATAAAACTATAATATTGACAAACTCGAAATTGATAAATGATTTCACTTGAATCTATGTTTGGCACGTGGGTCTGAGAGAAAGAACAATTATATAGTGCTCTGATATTCTCTCAAAATTAATTAAAATATTTTGAAAATTTCATTGATTATAGTAAAAGAAAATTATATAGATATGTAAAGTTATTGGTTTCCCGATTATATTTTAAAGTACTGGGAATTAGACCCCCCCACAAAGTACCAATTAGATCCATTTTGCTTGCTTCTAGAAACCTTTCTCAAAGTTGAAAATCGAAGCATTTTTACTTTTACAAAATGTAAGGACAGTTACGTTAGGTACAAAAATAAAAAAATAAAAATACACATAACCAATATAATCTAAAACCAATACATTTGTTGCTACAGTAAGAATATAAAACGAAATGGATTAGTTACCTATTTATTATTTGTTAATTATTATCAATAAATTGTAATATAATAACTACTAAAAATATTACTGTTTTATCATTTATGATCTCAATTTGTAGAGGGACCATTGACACACATTTAGTATAGTATGAAATACCTATATATATATAATCTTTAAATTAAGGTAATTTTAAGGTAATCAATACAATTATTATCACCCAAAATGTATTATTTTATAATATGTTTTTGGTATTAATTATTAAAACATTCCTACTATTATTTTGCACTTAGATTCGTTTTTACACAATTTTTAATACATGAAAATGTGCAATTAACATTATCTATACTATCATGTACTATTTACTTACATTATTTTAAAATTTAATTCTAGTATATAATGCAATTAAGATAATACATAAAATAGCATGGTGTCATGATATATTGATAATAAATTGATGATAATTATTGTAAGTATTAAAAATTCATAATTTTTAAATTAAAATACGGGCATTCACTTTATTTGGACATTAACCCGTTACCCATACATTTGAACAAATAGCGTAAACGTAGGCATAGCGAAGGTAGAGAATAATAGTTTTTACAGTGCACTAAAATTAGACCAAAACAAAAGAAACGCGTGTGTGTATCAATTAAAAGTTTAAAATTTAGATCTAGAAAGTTTTAAAATAATATTTGAATGATCATATGCCAAGTACCGTGTAATTCGCCCCCGCATTATTTATGTTTTTAAATGGAATACTAATGTCTCCTTAAGTGCAAAAATGTTGATGTTCATTTTATAAATATAATTTTTTAAGTATTTGTAACAATACAATTTTTTTTCTATTTTTATTGGCGAAAGTATATGTACCAAAAACCCAATGTAAATTTAATAATCTTTGTATTTACTATTTATATGTATATTTTTTATCCTGAAATTATACTATTGTAGATCAAGGGGATACTAAATATTCTTGCGTAGGAGCGTCTTAAAGGGCGGAGCAAATGTGCCGTGTGCAATACTGTAGTAGGGATAAAAGCAGTAGAACACTTTGATTAAAGTTCGAGAACATTCACAAAACCGAAGCCGAACACGCCTGTAGTACAATCTCCGTTTACTAAGGTGAGTAAATATTTTATTTTAATATTCTATTATAATCAATAATTTAATAATAAAAATAATAATATAATAATTTTTTGAATTAAATATTAATGTAAATCACACAACATAGTATTAAATAAAAACTTTTGACTTTTTCAAAATTTATTTTAATTCTGTAATCGAATAAAATCTGGGATTGATTTAAATTTAATTAAATTACGATTTATAATAATTTAGTGAATATACAAGGAGTGTTTCACGGTGATCAGACAACTGATACATACAAATGTAATTTCAATCAAAAATTGTTAGAACTTCCTGATACTCATAGAATACCTTTTGTATACCTAACCTATTGGTTTGCAAATATAAAGTTTTCTAATTCACCAATTGTATTTATTAATTACAATATGTTAAGTAGGCATTAAATATTTAATTGATATTTCTTATATTTAATTTATATTCAATCTACTTACGATTATTTTCTCTTATTAATTTAAATTTTATTCAGTAGGTATATAAATTCCAATTAATAATGCACTGCAATATCTTATAATACCTATAGTTATAATAATATGTCAATGCCTGTTTAAAAGTCAAATATCACTGAAAACTTTAATAAATACTCTTACATAATATTATAGTAAATTTAAAATTTGTTTCTTATTAACCGTTATATTATTATATTATCAAAATTTCATACAAAAGAAACCTACTACCATATGATTTAATTTATATATTCGACTATAATCTCGATAGGTATTTATAAGTTGAAACTCTTGAGCATGTGTCAAATTAAAATATCATAATTTGCTTTTAAATAAAACTGCCCAACTTTAATAATTTAAAGTCTATTTTGTACATGATGTATATGTACTAGGTATTATCAAATTATATGGATCGTTGTTTTTAATTTTGAGTAATCGGTGTGCTTGCACGTCCCAATTTATACATTCATTATGAACAGTGATCTGTATATGCTAGTTTAACTGTATACCTAGTACTTATGTAATGTGTGTACCATATAAGTATACAATACTCGTGTACTATTTTGTAGTGGTTACCTGTAATCTGTATACATTGTATAGATGATGGGTAGTTAATATTTAATATTTATATTTCCATTATACCATTTTACTTAATAAATCAAGAGTGAGTAACATTTTATTCAAAAAATGCAGCTAATACATACTCGGAGGTCATTACATTCTTCCACGTTAGTTTTATCCTTATATGGGTACCCAAGTGATAGTGTAAATGGAATTCTAAACTTTCAATGCTTCACATTATATCGATTATGTATATTTATATTAATATGACGAATTTAACCTACAATTACTTAGACACCCATTGTTATTGTACGTTCACTCAACTTCTATAGATTTCCGGTGTTCACAAATGTTAATTGTATTTACTGTACCTACATTATTTTCATAATACCTATTATAAAATAATTATTCGGTATTTTTTTTATATCCTTATACCTATCATGTGTGTATAAATTCAATGTTTTTTCCTCTTTGACAATTTATAGCGCTATTTTATTTTTTCCTATATATGACATAAAAAAAATAGGTCAAAGTGTCCAGGAGTGAATAATGGCTCATAGCCAATCGTACTTGTCAAGTATCGCCAAATGCTATTAATATATAATTAAGTAGTATATACATATATTATATTGTGTCATTTAACTTCTCTATCCCTTTCTCTCTATCTCTCTCTATTTTTTTTCTATTAGTCCTCGATCTATTGGTGAACAACTAGTCTAAATTGAGCTGACATTTAAAATTCCTCATAATTTATTTACTATACTCGTACTTATACTTATAGACTATAATATATTCTTATTGGTGACTATTTCACGGATATGAGAAACCATGTGCAAAATGTTATATCTAAATTATACATTTTTTGATTCTAAATTTAAATATAATTTCACAAATAAAAGTGTCACTATGAGTATTTTTTTTACTCCAGACCACGTGTAAAAATGAACAAAATTATTTTTGGAATCAAGTTTGTTTTATCGGTAAAAATATGTTATTATTCGTACCCGTTAGTAAGTTTGTTGAATGAGTACCTACTTAAATCGAACTCATGTATATATTGCAATAAAACAATATGAAATGATTGATGACGATTTAAGTTTTAAATATCCACAAATCGTCGTATTAATTGTCCTTTAATATCTACTTTATTGATTACAAAAAAATTATGCTCCTCGAATAAATCCGTCAAAACTGTAGGTACTTAGGTTAGGACGTTAGGTTTATAAATTTAACGTTTTATGTGCCAATAAGTAATAATAACATTATCATTCATACATAAGTACCTTTAATATTGAATAATTTAAAATTTTGATTTTCAGTTTTATTTGTAAAATTATTTAAATCAACTCTCAAAATGCCTTTCGTCGCAATCGAACACCCGAAATGCGTAAAATGCACCAAATCAGTATATGCCGCCGAAGAGCGAATTGCTGGAGGTTATAAATGGCATAAAATGTGCTTCAAATGCGGTAAGATTTAAATATTTTAAGCTTTTTTTTTTTTCTATTAATATATAATTTTGATGAAATCATGTAGAATTGTGTGGCAAGTTTTTGGACTCCACCAACTGCGCAGAGCACGACAAAGAGCTGTACTGTAAAAACTGTCACGGAAGAAAATACGGACCAAAAGGATACGGTTTCGGTGGAGGCGCTGGATGCCTGAGTACAGACAATGGTGAACATCTCAGCAACGTGTAAGAGAATAATAATTAATGCCTAAATTAATTCCTATTAATGGTCACATTTTACTAATTACTATCACAATGATTTTTTTCCGAGGAATCACAAGAACCATTTAATGATAGAAACATTTTTATCTTTCATAATTAAATATTTTACAAATAATAACTACCTACATAACCATACAAATCACACAATACATAATATTATTATAGTTACCTATTTTTAAAAAGCAATAATAATTATCGTTTGTAAGTTTATATTTATTGATTAGTTATTGTATTAATACGTACCATATATGGATAATAATTTTTTAACTACATTTTTTATTTCTTTTATTTTTTTACTATTTATAATATAATAGAACAATATGAAACTAATTAGTAATTACTATAATTCAAGTGTATAAAAAAACGCCCCAACAAAGTTTTCTTTGTTAGATAGTTTTCCTACGAGCATGTTTCAAATATATAATAATAAGTGTGTTTTTTTTAACAGCCTTTAATGGAGAAACAATCCAATTAAATACCTGACCATCCGAAGGACCTACCCATCAACCTATATTTATTTTTGCATGCAAGAGTAAAACCTTTTTAATATTTGCTTATACATACAAATTCACCTCTCATTTCTGTTCGTTTTAGAAGATATTTTTTTTTAATAATTATATGTTAAGTATCCAAGCTTGTACCTATTTACCTACACATCAGTCTATGTACAGTGAACAAGCAATATATTGTATAGAGATGTTTTGTTGATTTTTCATTAAATTAATAATATTATTTCCAATGATTGTTTTTATTTTTATTTTTCGTTTATCTGGCAGCTTAAGCGATGCTTTCGGCTAATCATAACCATTATTTATTTTATTACTTTCATGATTTTAATTTTCGTACATATTACATAACAATGATTGCTTTGGAGAATACAATATAATATGAAATGTACATATTAAAATAATCTGATCGGACATAATATCTAAAACTTATTTAATTTTGAAACATATTAATAACGCTATCGATACACGTTTTTAAACATCTAGCAATATAATTAAATGTCGACTGCAGATACCTAAAGCACGCTTAAGATACCATTTATTTAGATTTATCATGTCTGACATGACTATTACCATTTTAAATCCTAAGCATAATATTACAAAACATATTGAGGTAATATGTAAAGAATCAATTTTAAGAGAGTTCATGGAATGCTATATTGTTTCACTTCTAGAGTCCAAATGGCTTTAAATGGTGAGATTAAACTTTTTTAATAACTTACCATAGATACATAATACGTATATAAGTATAGTATTTATATATACTATATTATATCACATGAGTCTTTGTAAATTGGAAAACTTATGCTTATTGATGGTTATGCTTTCACTAATGTATATATTGTAATTTTATTTGTGTACCTATTTATCTTATTTTAATCTTTCGCTTAATGAGTCATACCTATTTAACAATAATACTTATAAAATAACAATAATACGGAGAGGTGAACTTTTATGATTTGTAAATATTATTTTTACTGTTGAACCTAAATGGTACCAACAGTAATTAATTATTGTTTTGTTTTTTTTTTACTTCAGCCAGCTGCAATTTTGGATTGGTGTCATTATAATAATATAATGATGATTTATGAAAATAATGTTTTTTTTTAAATTGTACTTCACTTTATAAAATAGCATAATATACTTAACTGTAATTTTTTGGGGAAACTTTGCTCAATAGTTAATGATAAATAATCGTAACCTTTTATACACTAAACATATATTTTTAAACTTACAAAACCACTATACTTTATACTTAGCTATATAATTTATAAATTTAATCCATATAATAAAATCAAGTTTATAGTTATAAGTTTACTTTTCAAAAATGTTCAGTTATAATTCAAAAATACTAATTTTCTATACATTTAAATAAATATATGAAAAAGAAAATATAGATATATATTATACATAATATCTTTAATTGATACACGTAAATTGTATAAATATATATTATATAAAATGATAATAACAGTCAAATCTAAATTAAAATTGGTAATTCAAGATTTTATATACATGTATGCATATCCTGTATTAACTATTTAATTGACATAGATACATTTTTAAATAAACAATAACAGTTGTATATTTAAGTATACTTTAAGACTTCAATTTGACTTAAAGTTTAAGTTGAGAATATAAATATTCTCATTAATTAAAGCCTTTATTTATTTTTTAAATCTTAAATTAACTATAGTAATATATTAAGAAAACATATAATTTTACTCACTTATTTTTAGTTTATAACTTTGTATTACTAGTTAATAATATTATGATCCCTTGGGTAATATTATTATTTATTTTTGATACTGTTTTATCTTTTAACTTTATGGAATTTGTCTATTTAACGCACAACTATTTTAATAATGCCTATATTTAATGGTAAAAAATCACTAAAACCACTAATATAATATTATACTTTATATTTGTATCATTATTACCTACATATTTACATAATCTGTTCAATACACTATGATTAACATTTATTACAACCAACATTTTACTATGCATTATCCGTTTATAATAAATTGCGTTTTAGGTCTTACTATCATACTAAACCTCAAGGTGCCTCGGAATCACGATCTATGGCAATGGCTCCTGAAGGCGAAGGATGTCCACGCTGCGGTGGATTTGTGTACATGGCTGAGCAAATGTTAGCAAAAGGAAGAGTAAGTGTGATATTTATACAACTACAGTCCAAAAACCACAATTTTAATTAGATCTATATAGGATATGTCATTTGATCGATATGGTATTCTAGGGATACCACAAAGAATGTTTCACCTGTTTTTCTTGTAACAAAACTTTGAATTCTGTGATACATTGTGATGGGCCCGATAATGAAGTACACTGTAGAGGTGAATGAGAACAAATATTTGTGTGAAAATGCATAAATCCTGATTTGTTTGAATGTTGTTTGTTGAAATTCGGAAATTAGTTTTACATTTAATTTTAACGTTGATTGAATTTAAATGGTGACATTTCCAAATAAAGTTAGGTTTGTTTACTTGTTAGCAATATAATTCTTAACTACCTAAATATTACCACCTTTGAGTGTCATCGAAATACCTATAACCATGTCATTTCAAATACTTACCTACGCATGATCTTTATTTATTAATTTAGTCTTGGCATCGAGAGTGTTTCAAGTGTGCTACTTGCACGAAACGTTTGGATTCAGTCAATTGTTGTGAAGGTTCTGATAAAGATATTTACTGCAAAGGTAAGGTAATCCGTGTATTTTGCATGTTCTAACTTTTAACATAAATGTTTTTGAATCAGTATGTTATGGCAAGAAATTTGGACCTAAGGGTTATGGTTATGGACAAGGAGCTGGAGCACTTCAAAGCGATCCCGCTTATAATGGGTATGTTTATAATTGTATACATAGGCGATATTTCAACTTTTGACTTGGGGGGCTGAATATATTAAAGGCAAGCAGACCATTGAAATATAGCATATTAAAATTGTATGTCCTAGGTATTTTTTTTTTTGGGGGGGGGGGCTCCGGTAAGTTTGGGGGGGCTTAGCACCCTATGATTATATAATCAGAAGTAATTAAAAAATATATCCATCGTTACGCTATATATGAATTTTGAAAAAAAAAACGAACAAATAGTTAGTAAAACCGCCGAAAATATTTCAACTTATTTAATTGATATTATGACATTATGTAGAGTCGGTACCTACATTTTTTACAATAAAAATGTATTTTATACAAATTTTATTATGTCAATACATAATAATTATTATATAATATATATAGTTGTACTATTTAAGCATAACGTTTTATAGGCTATTCATGAAAATACTTGCAGTAAATATTATTATTTTTTTGATATAGCATCAGTTTCTTCAGTAGCGAATCCAGATAATGTTTAAGGGATGGGGAAGATTTAAAAAAATATATTTACATGATAATATATTAGTAATATATAATATATGTATATATATTGTATTTATGTGAGATTTGTATTAATATATGAAATTCTATACCTAGTCGGCAAACATGTCTAACTTACATGTAGGTAATAATATTGGAACCATATGAACAATTTATTATAGGTAGAATATTAGGATAATGGCCAAAAGGCGATCACCTCCTTATCGTCCCCCTTGTGTCCACCACTGAGTTTCCTATAGAGATTATTAGTTATCAAGTGAAGATTTTACCGATATTTTCAAAATAACAAATTTACCTCATGCATGTAACTTACTTTATTAAATTATATTACCCATTGTTTTATTTTGCTTGAATTACCAATTTATAATATTTTTTATTGAACATTATGATTAATTTCCTTTTTTTCGTGAATCATACAATAACAATAAAAATTGACCAAGTTCAGCATAATACTCAAGTTTTTTTTTCCGCACAGTTTGTTATTCAAAGCGCTTCGGTCCCAGAGGTATAGGTCACAGAGGTGCTGGTTGTCAGTCAATTGGTTTGACATGTGACTTAAACGACGAAACCGAAAGGTATTTAATGATACCCAAAGGTCTCCCAACTATTTCTTTTTCATAGCATGCAATTATCTGTTTCGATAAATTATCAATTTACCTATATATAATTCGTAAACGTACATAAATTTTCCATTATTTTCATGAACTGAATGTCGAATAGAATTCAATGCCCAGTATTTCCAAATAGTATATACCATTACCAACATTTTTTCTCATTATTATTATTCTATATTATTATGTCATGAATGAAAAATGTTTATTTTTATATTTAGGGATGTTAGCACATCTAGAGCTCCTATTATTGATACGAGTACAACTTCTATTAAGGCAAAAGCAGGAGAAGGGTGTCCACGTTGCGGAGGTGTGGTATTTGCTGCTGAACAAGTGCTTGCTAAAGGAAGTGTAAGTAACAATTGTAGACACATACTGTGATTGTACTAATTGTATAGTGTGTACTGTGTAGCTATGCCAATAATTAACAAATTTAAGTTTCCAGTACCTAGTTAATAAATATTTGAATCATTAACAAATATAACAAATAAAAATCGTTTAATTATAATTATAACAATAAACATCTTTGTATTTCTCAAGGAATGGCATAGAAAATGTTTCAAATGCAAGGATTGCAATAAAACTTTGGATTCAATAATTGCTTGCGATGGACCCGATAAAGATGTATATTGTAAAACTTGTTACGGTAAAAAATGGGGTCCTCACGGATATGGATTTGCTTGCGGCTCAGGATTTCTTCAGACAGACGGCTTGACGTTAGTAAACATTATTAAAATATTTTTGGCTTTACTTTATACTACCTATTTAATATGTAATTCAAACGAATAAATATTATCAGTTATTAATTAACTTATGACACCAATCATAACCATAAAACTATATATTTTGACCGGGCGTAAACACGTTGGAGGGTAATGATCATCATTTGCCCATAATTCTTATTCGCGACCCCACTGATATAATGTTATATACTTATATCTATAGTGGTTGAACTGAAAATAATATAATATATATATATTCGTCTGTAATAGAGATGAACAAATTGCGGGATCACGACCGTTTTATAATCCAGACACCACATCTATTAAAGCGGAGAAGGGAGAGGGTTGTCCAAGATGTGGCGGAAAAGTATTTGCTGCTGAACAACAATTGGCTAAAGGAGCAGTAAGTTTTTTAAAATAGTTAAATACTAAGCTTATCCATCGTTAATGTGCATCATACACTTAGAAAATTAATGATGTAAGTACATTTTTAATCTACACGCAGCTTGGCATAATATTATGCATTTTTTCAGAATTCATTACTGAAAATTATTATTTCATGACAATATAATATTGTCAAAGACTACCTTATAAAAAAAACATCACAATTTTTCGATTTTAATATTAAGCATTTAATTTTAAAATTCATAAAATTATTAACAGATGTGGCACAAAATTTGCTTTAACTGTGCTACTTGCCACCGGCCATTAGACTCTACATTAGCTTGTGATGGACCGGATAAAGAAGTTTACTGCCGATCCTGTTATGGAAAATATTTTGGACCCAAAGGATTTGGATATGGACACTCTCCAACTTTGGTCTCCACCAAAGGAGAATCTACAATGTTGTTGTAAGTACTGACAATCAAAAATATATATATATTTATAAAACAATTTTACAAGATACCTAAATTAAATATTTTTAAAACGGAGAACTTGTTGTATCATTTCACATTTTTTTTTAGCTCGGAAGCAAGACCAACATCTGGAAACAAGAGCAGAAATGGTAATGGGTGTTTGAGGTGTGGATATGAAGTTTATGCCGCTGAACAAATGATAAGTAAAAATAAGGTAAAGACATTTTACAGTTTTATTACTTAATGAAAATATTAAAGTTAACTAACATAATACAAATAAACACATTTTTCTAAAACATATTTTAATGTTCTTAAAGAGTAAAGTATAATATAAAAAATATACCTATAAATCTGTTGCAAGATGATTTTAACTGAAATGTTAATATATAACATCCTTTACGAACATTAATATCGTCTGATTAATTAATTTTGTAATTCGTAAGTTAGTATTAAAAACGAAGCATGTTACTTGGTTGGTAATACATTTGGTAGTACGCCTATTATTAACGTATAGTGTGTACAATATACATAATATACCTACCTATTATGATATGAATATTACGTAGGTCGAATAAAGGCGTCATACACACTTAATCATCTTATATTTCTATTTTTTTTTTGATAATTGAAAAATCTTTTTTCAAGTGATATTTTTTTTCAGATGACTTAACCACAATAATATTATGTTCTCTTTCCCTACCATGTTGCATTTTAATGTTGAAAATTTGTCCAACATCACCATATGCACTTGTATCATACTAATAAATAATGTTCTTTATAAATTATAATATATAACACATGTCACAATAATATATTTTTTGAATTTATTTTTAGTCCTGGCACAAGAGATGTTTTACTTGCGCTGATTGCAGTAAATCATTAGATTCGACAAGTTTGAATGATGGTCCTGATGGCGATATTCATTGCAGACCTTGTTATGCAAAACATTTTGGGCCGAGAGGTTGCGGCTTCGGTATGGGTGCTGGTGTTCTGTCTATGGCATAAATGATTACTGTGAAATAAATGCAAATCAAAGGCTAAAGAATATAACTTTTAAACAAACTTTATTCGAACGTTGTTTTATGCTTTTTTTTCTTGTAATATCATCCACCCCAAATATACTAATTATTTTAATAAACATTTAAAAAAGTCATGATTAATTTAATATTGTTTTCATTTTTTATTTTATATGTATTCAAACACCTGTATAATTTTTTACTTTCAAAGCTTTATCAACGTCGTTTTATATAATTGTGCGTAAGATTCTGGAATAATAATAATTACTATTGAAAAATCGAAACCAATAACATTAATATTAAGATAACATTCATTCATTTTCGGTACTGTGATTACTATTGCAATTTGGCGTGTATATTATTGAAAATGTTTAAAATGAACAGTGAAAATATAATATTGAACTTTATCAGTGCATTAAATATATGTTTTCAATATATTATCCACTACTTATAATATTGTATGAGCCATGAGGTCAGAAATTGTCCATACATCTCTTTATAACAAAACAGAAAAAATTTTATTAACCATCAATCCAACCGCTACACTTTTCTTGCTAAAGTGACGGATATCGAATACTAACTTGTAAACGATAAGTGGAATCATATTGTATTGCGACGTGATCTTTTTTGATCTGTATGATTTATGTGGATAATTTATTAAAACGTAAAGAAATAATTGATACAGTGAAACCTCGGTATCTCGAAGTCGTAAGGGACCAAAAAAAATTTCAACATATCGAAACTTCGAATTAGAGAGGGAATTTAAAACATAAATAAAATTTGAAATAAAAATGTTTAATTATTGGGAAAAATGTGTATTTATAATATAGAATGTATTTATACATTGAATACATATTATGTATTAGTATTCGTCATTTAGATAAGTATACATTATTTTATATGAAAGTAGAAAATCTGACATTTTTGTTTTTCTTGAATCAGGGGCCCTGACACAGGAAGGTTATGATCTCTTGCTCTATGTATCCACTTTAACATTGCATCTTCAATCTGAGGAAAATTTGAAACTTTCAATTTCTTTCTTTGAGGTGAACACGAAGAATCTTCAATATTTTTTACAATTTTATCTTAGTAGTATAAAATGTCTTAAAAATTTAAAATATGTAGTACCTAATGGCTAAATTATATTCAACTATTATTAATTAATACAATAATACAGATTAATATGTACCTACTGGCTACTACCTATCTAATGTTAGAATATCCAAAATTATACATTAATATATTATTAACTAATGAAGAAATAACTACAATAGTTAGTAAATATAAAATGTAAGTAAATAAGACTTGGGTAGATAATATTTATTGAAAGTATGTATAATTATTGTACCTTTCTCGGTTCCTAAGTTTTTTGGGTTATTAAAACTCTCTTCATTAATTATTGGTTCTTACACTTGTGCCTTGTGAACAATATGAACTGTATATTATACAATATATACTGCGACGATAGCACGCTGCGCTTGATCAATATTCAAACTCGATAGAGAATAATATTATATTGGGACATATTATTTTGTTAGGCTTGTTTATTTTATTTTATTGGTTCACTATTATATAGTATTGTCTGTAGTTGTGTTTATTAAATGTGCGTTTGATACCCATATTTTGAATTTTATTGCTAGTTTTCAATCTATTAATATACGTATTTTTGTCTTATTTTAAATTGTCGAGTGACGAATATATTTTATAAAATAGAATCTAGGAATTTAATTTTTGTCTTACCATCGTTAACTATATGGAGTAGTGGAGTACCATACATTCAGGATTTAGCCGGTTTGGGATAATTAGACACCATAATATTTAAAAACCAAAATCAAGGGGGCCAGGTCGGGGCCACTGACTTTTCTTAGGGGGGCAGGCCCCCTGAGGCCACCCCCCTTGACGACGTGCCTGACTTCAAGCGTCAAGTTCAAGAGGGAAAAAATCAAATATTAACACATTTAAGTTTATTAATACAATATTTATTTATAAATGATTACAAATTATTAATATAATTAAGTTAATCAAGTAAACTGGCTGAGACACGATTGAGCATAAAACACCTTTTTGCGACACTATTGAGCCAAATTGTAGGCGTATCAAAGGAAATCGGAATACAAAAGAAAACCTACACGATTGAGCATAAAAAACTCTGCAGCGTTGCCATTTTACATTCAAAACTATATTATACAAAAATATTTATATAAATAATTATAATAATTCAATATATAACAAATCAAAAAAATAACATGATTTCATAGGTAATCAATAATATAGTCACATTTCACAATCTGTTTGATAATAACAATAATAGTTATACAAATAATAAGATCAAAATATGGTAAGAATTAAAAAAAATACTGCATGGTTTATAAGTCAAGAACACTATAGAGTATGGGTGATCGAACACTGATATTATATCTATAATAATTTTGGAATTGTATCTTAATTTAATATCTTATATTTTCCCCCAATTTTAAATGTTTAAAACATCAGAACTCTATTGCTCCGGAACAAATTTATTAATCGATAATATTGTCGATAAAGCTGGGCTCAGCAGCTGCTCACGGCTCGTGTCTGGTATCATAATAATTGGTGTAATAATAGGTGAAAATAATAAATTACAAAATTTCGACCACGCGAATGTGGCAATATCGCATAAAATATTCTATGGTCAATCGTGTTGCTAAAAAGGTATATGCTCAATCGTGCTTTACCGAGTAAACTAGTAAGTGATAACATATTATGATTTAGACTGATTACAATCACAAACATGTGTGGATTTTACGCATTCGTTATTTACATTTTCTGAAAATGAAGTAGCTATTCAAAATATTGATAGGTTTATTCAAGTGTGTAATCAAATATACACACCACATCGAGTTGATAAACGTGTCAAAACCAATTACAAAATTTAAAAAAAGGTAGGTAATTAGCCTATGTAAACGTTCTACAAACTGTATAGTAGGTACCTAATTATATTGCAGTAATGTGTTAATTTTGAATTTAATAATAATTCATTGCATTTACGAAAGGCGTCATTAAATCATCGTATTGTTGTGTGAATGTTTGCACGGATTCTAATAATATGATTTACTAAAAATTTTAGGCATACAAAGTTAATTCAGTAGTTATAATATTTAATTACAATCTAAGCAGGTGTATCTATCAAAATATACTCCAAAATGTTTGAACTTTATTAATAATTGTTAAAAAATAGTATAAAGGTGAAACCACTTTAAATATAAAAACGCATTAGATATTATAAATTATATCAAAATATTATTATTTAATAGAAAATCAAGACAAATTAAACATGAAATTGAAATTCATCGTTGCCGTGGCAGTTGTCATCATCGTTAGTATGTTTGTAAGTATCTACATGTTATATTGTAGTTTATGGTTATATCATTTAAGTAATTAAGTTAACAATTATAATTTGTATATGTTTTATTTATGTTAGCTAAAATCATGTTACAAAAAATAATTTAAAAACCTTGTAAGTGGATGTCATTTTGCTGTACAGTAGGTTACAAGTGGGTCACTGTTGAATATTTAATATTCTAAAATCTGATAGTATTATATTTGAATTCAATGACATAATATCATTGTATACGAAAAACGATTCTGAGAGGAGACGGTTTGTCAGTCTGGATATATTTTAATATTATAATTATATTTTATACTGTTATTAATTATTAATAATATGGTAGGCGGTAAGTTGAATCAATATTATAAAATAAAAACAAAATAACTAAATTCGTCATTCTATGTTATTTAATAAGTGTGTAATTTTGATCAAATTGTACTTAAAATAACTCTTAAATAAACGGTGCCTATATATTTTTTTAGATTTTTTGGTACAGAATTGACTACTTACGTGGAACATTGTTTTCGATTTTTAATCATTAGCTATGAAAATTGAACATTTTATCGATTAAGAACTACAAAATAAATTTTTAATTTAAAAAAAAAACCTTATTAAAATTGGGTATTTTTTATTATATAATATATGGCTCTATCATAAAATTTATGAATATAATTCGTGGCATCGATGTCTTCATACGGGCGACTAATGTTACCCCAATGTTAATATTTATAATTAACTTTTTAATTCAATATATTAGTTTTTATCTTTAAAGTGTTTAAACATAAATACGAAGTTCTTTGTGAATATCTTTTTTTTTTTTTTGATAATATTTTCTATATTCTACGAACTTAAACCGAAAATCTGTAATAAACAAAATATTTTTCTGGATAATAAAAATATTCAAAATTATATAACTTGTTAAAATAAAGAAAAATATGAGTTGATTTTAAGTTAATGTTGAGGCAAATGAGTTAGTTAAAGTTATGTTAATTAGAATACCCAACTAGTAAGTTAAGTTAATAAATTAAAATTAACTTAACTTCTAACTTCATCGAGTGTTACTCCCCTCATGCTGTCACAGTCATTGTAAATTCCACTCATAAGCTCATTGTAAACAATATTAGAGATTGTATATTTTCTAATAAATGTTAAAAAAAAAAACTTCTAACTCATGAAGTCGTTAAAGGCCAGCCTTGACATAAAGTTGTCAAAAAATATCTGCTGAATAATTAAAAGTGAACAAGAAGGGTTTCTATTTGAAAAGTAGAAGTTTGTATAAACAATACTCAATAGTCATAGGATCATCTTTAAGTTATACACAAAATAGCAAGTATTCGAATATAAGGTTTTCAAGGGTATTTAAGCATTCCAAAAATCAAAATCTGTATATATGTAAAATTTAAGCATAAAAATGGTTGTTTTCTTAAAAAATCACTCTGTATAAGTAATTATAATCCTGTATGGTATTTTTATCTTATTTGCTTGAAATAACACAATACCTATTTATCTACTAATATAGAATTATCACGGCATCAGATTATTTTACATACTTAAATGTATTTTTAGAATCTGAGGGGAGCGAAGAAGCTAGTGGTTTTACAATGGTGTTTATCTTATTTTAT